TCGCCAGAGCCAAGAATGCCAAGCCTTGAGTTCCCACTGAAATTTGCGCCCACGATGGCGTTAAAACCGTCAACGGTATTGTCACAGTAGCGTTTCTCTCATTGAATCGTTTTCTCCATCAGCCTGTAGAACTCCTCCAGCCGACGCAGAAATAGGTGCACTGATAAAAGGAGCCGCAGACTGGTTCTATAGTTGAAGAAGGTGAAATGATGAGTCGACTTGATTGGCGATCGTTGAGTTGATTAGAAGGCGCCCCATCCGATGTTTATGCCATTGTTTCTAGGGTCACAACGAGAAATTCGTTGTTCTCGATTAGAGAAGTTTGTGGTTTTGATTCTGTTTTCGTCCTTTGTGATGCAATGACAACATATGAATCGGCCCGCATCCAGAAGGAGTGTTCAAACACTAGCTTTCGATGCTATAGTGCGGCAGTTATAGAAGCAGAAAGAAAGACAACTCTCCATTCATGATTTGGGCAAATTTCCAGAGTTATGATTCCGATGACGTGTTGATTTCCATGAGAGATTTTGTGGCCTCTCATCAGTAGAAGCTGATCTCTACGAGGCAGGGGGCAGCATCTGATGCGCACAGGGCTGTCGCGCAAACATACCTGCTCGTGCTACTTGGTTGACCTCGGATGCTCACTTGTTCCTTGTCAGATGCAAAAGAGTATCCATACGACACATGATGCGTTGTGCGGAGCTATTTTTACCTTTCGTCACCACTTCTATGGTGGGCACCTTACCCATGTTCTTCAAAACAATGGGTGATTTGTGATCCATCAAAAATGGAAATTTGAGCGGAATCTCCTCCGATTTGGATTCTCACTTTTGAAATAAACTTCCGGTATTTCGCACTGAATACACAATTTTGAGTGACGATGAATTTTCTAGATAACCTTATTCCCAATTGACTCGCGACCGAATAACAACAGCAACCTTGCGAAGGTTTATTGTTGATAAACATTGTCAAATAGTTGTCAAATAATTACAAACAAACACCACTGTTTTGACAGAGCTGTGACGCAAGGTAGTACTTCTCTATATTGGTGCATATGTATGCCCGCTCTGGGCCGAGCAGTACTTTTCACCTCTTCTGCCTGAAAAAATTGATCGTAAAAAGAGTCCATAAAATGGCTAGGATTCATCTCATTTCGGACGGCAGGCGTCTACTTCCAGATTTCATAGGGCGAGTTTAGTAAGAAGTGCTGTACACCGTCGCACTCGTAACCATTATGAAAATGTAAACAATAAAAAAATAAATCGTATAAATGAGGGACTGCATGAACTTACGAATCCTTCGCAGTCAGGACCTGTCGCGATTCATGGTCACCCTTTTGGGTACTATTCGCATCGGTAGTGATTGAGCCTACAAGCTTCCACGCTCACCGGACCACCACGCCCTACCTGCGCCCCGGACAGGAGGGCGGACCAACCTCCTGAGGATCAAGGGGTGTTTGGCTGGGAATAAGTAGGTTGTGTCGCCGCGTTCATAGTGCTGGTCGATGTGTCGGGGACAGGGATCCCCGTCGCAAAGTCCTGGGCTGGGGTCGCCAGGCAAGACGGAGGCCTTCCATCACCGAATCTTCCTTCATTCTTGCTTCACAAGAACGATCGATTTTCAAATGAAACTTAAAATTCCACCAAATTCAGCAAGGAATTTATTTTTTTTCGTGTTTCATTTGGGCGAAATTATAGATGATTTTAATTATTTTTAGTTAGTTCCCCGCCACAAATTATAGTGTTGATTTTCACCACTCTTCCTTATTCAGAGCAAAGTTCAGTGAATTCATATCGATATCAACTGCATGGCGCATCCAAACAGAAATACAGTAGTGCTCAAAGGTCTTCTGCCAAACGCTCTTACGCTTTTTCGTTCATAACTTTTTCTTAGTGGAACAAATCGCTTGGAATTTTGATATGTTTAACTAAAGCATATTCTTCACTATCCAACACTTCTTAACTGCGAAGCGCTCGTACACTTTGGACATGGCAGAAAGGAAAGAAGTTCCAGAAGCCATCATTCGTATTTCCAATTGATTTTGAGTTCAAGCAGGATATATGAGATATGAGCAGATTGCAATTTGGTAGTCGTAAATATTCACGATACACTCATGCTATACATATTGAAATTTTGCATGACTGCATAAAATAGGAAAGGAATTACGACTGAAATGTACTAATGAAGAAGCATTTGGCCGAAGACTTTTGAGCGCTACTGTATATCACCACCGTATAAGGGCCCATTATTTTTATAACTTATTTTTTTCAGCCACGAGGAGGCAAAGAAGATGAAGAGTATTGCACATTCTCAAAGCATGCATACATATGCACCAATTTAGACCAATACTACCTTGCAGAGCAGTAGTTAGTAAAAGCACACGCCATTGCTCGTGAATATTTGACAAGGTAACAATAAACAAAATTTAAAATAGACCTTGTTTGTAAAGTTGCTAGTTGCTCTTGGATCCATCAGAAGCTACGTCATCAAGAGAGCACGTACACCTTCACTCAAACTTGTACACATAGTGCGAAACCTCAAAACTTTTCTTTTGAAAAAATCTGAAAAAATTCTTACAAAAAAAGAAGTTAGAAAATTTTTCGATGAAAAACAGATCTCAAAGCGTATGAAAGAGCTTCCAAAGATTTTTTCTGATTGATTTCATTGACATTCCCCTCTCCTATACTGGAGCGGCGACATACTCGCTAACTTTTTCCAAGGACTTCCTATCGTCTTTAGATCGAATTCGACATCGCCGCCTTTTTCATCCGTTTGATTATAGATTGCTGGTAATACGAATATAGAAGGCGTTTTGATTCTCACATTGCTAATTTTTTCAAACCAATTACGGGTAGGGGACACTCGATGGATACCGATTTTAATACTTGGCTAAAATTTCAAATGCTCTCTGTCAATAACAATAAAGAGTCTATGAGTAAGGAACTTATGAATAAGATCTGACTTTTTGTATTTGTTGTAATTACTGAATGCAATCGTAGATGTAATTCCGAAAATATCGTATTTCTAGATTGGATCACACGTCTACAAATTGTCAGTGCACACAACTTGTACAAATTAACAACATTTCGGAATCTTCCACGGCTCGTTAATTTGACAATTGTGGAATTTGTATGAGCTATTTTTCAATTTATCATTACCCAATTAACCGGGATCCCTCGCGAAAATTCAATTCATTTCGTGATTAAAAAACTCTAGGACCGCTACTCGATCCATACTTCATTTTTTATGGAACATCTTTTTTAGCCATGTTTGGACAAAGAAGTTGAAGTGTTCTCCTTTGGTCCTATGCAGGCATTGAGGCGCAACTATCCGACCTTCAACATTGCAGAGAATTACTTTTCTGAAACATGTGGTGCTTTTCTGCAATTGTGATTATCTGAGCTTTCCAAGCTGTTTGACTAAACAAGCAGTTTTTTTTCTTGAAAAGTGAATGAATTCAATGCCTCTCCAGCTACTTACAGTGGATCATCGAAGTTTCAGTCAAATGTTTTCGAAACTACTGTTTTTGATCTCAGTCGATAAGGATCAACTTATAGCCACATTAAGAGATTCATATGTTGTCGCCTTTTGGTCTCAAAATGGACCCATTTCTAACCTTTCCAATGACAGGGCCTTCAGGAGTTAGAGGAGAGTTAGCTCGGTTATGTTCTCACACTGGCACTGATGGATGTCGATACCGACACTGACTCGTATTTTCAACAAAATGGTGACTTGCCTCACGAAAGGTAAAGGGAAGTTTCATACCTAAAGAAACTGTGTGACATCGATAGAGTGAACTTCGTTTTCCTACTGACTACTGCTCCTCGAAAACATGTGGCCTAATTACTTCTTGGTAAAATGAATACAAAAAGTTTCAGGAGGTCAACCTCGAATCACTGAACTGCATCACAACCCAAGGAAATCACGATGATTCAGATTCCAAAACGGCTGTCATGAGATGGTCCGATAGATATGCACGTGTTCACTGTATTCCTCTGGCAGACTAAACCTCCACAATACAACAGCAGTCACCCTTAAGATAATGGCTATTATACCCCTCAAAATAGCCGTAATATAAATGCATGTCCAACAAAATTGTAAGGTTGGTTCAATTTCAAAAACTTCTGTGAATCATTAGCACAAGTTAAAATGATACTGATTTTCTTTGGTTCATTATGCATGAACTTTCACTATCATTCTTTTTGAAATCTAGGCATGTTGCACAATGTCTCAAATTGTTCTGCCGTACAGGGTTTTATGATGAAATCGCTTCATTTGGTCGACGTTCCTAACAATTCGTTGTCTTCAAGGACCTTGAAGAAGTTCGGGGCTACTGATCTGCGGCTTACCAGACCGAGGGCCCAAACGCGCTAGGCCAGTTGCAACAGCTCCTGGAAACATAACGGATTGATGTTATCCAGAAAATAGGTAAACGTGAACGTGATTGAGCCGGTCATGTGGTGGAACAACTGATGGACTTTCCGGCTTACAGATTGGATCCCACTGGATCCCTAGCGAGCGCCCAGAAGGGCTAAAAATGAGGTGGGTCGATTCGGTGGTGGGTAAGCTCAACCAACGATGGAAACGACGTGCACAAGACCGAAAAATATGGCTCAAAGTTGCATGAATGGCTAAACACAGAGGACAAATATGGTACAGGTGATACAGGCGAATGGCCAGATACAACCTCATCTCAACGGTGTCTTCAGCAGTAGCAAGAGCCTTTTTTTGCATTTCTACAAATAAGGTTTCTTGCACGCTCGCTAGAAGGAGGTCTTCCTGACTAAGTCCCCTAAATGATCTATGAGACATGACGAATGCATGAGAGCAGAGAGAGTTTAGCAGTTTTCGCATAAAATTAGCCGTGCTAATGGAGCGGTACATGCATTGTGACGCTCCCTTTACGAGGTTTTCTTGTCGTGTTGTCGTGCGGTCAGCTTATGGTCAAAACTCATATAAAAGCAATTTCACGCATCCGAGCTGTTGGCTTCTCCATGACCATGTCACTTTTTATATTCGTACTACTGATCACCATGGAGTACGCTTTAGCTTGCCTCACTACTGTTCTGCCACAACATACTACATTCGGATCACTTTTTACACCCCAATCCCTTTTTCCATCACTATCTACCACTAATTATCTTCAGTCTGCACCCGTCTACTCACAACCTCAGACTCCAGTCGTCTACTCACAACCTCAGACTCCAGTATTTGCGCAGCAAAGCTGGGTGAGTCCACCATTCATGCCTCCAGCCCAAGTACAGCCCATGCAACAGTTTCCACTCATGCCTGAGATCCCGAATATGTTCCCACCCACACCTTTTCCACAGACCCAAGTCCCTGCCCAGCAAAGTCCTCCCACAGAATCGAATCCATCAGCGGTATCCGAAACATCAGGAGCGTCATCCGCTCAGGAAGCTTCGGAAGCATCAGCTGCTTTAAATGCACCAGAAGCATCCGCCTCATCGTCTTCTGCTTCATCTTCTTCATCCGCATCGAATGGCGCGTCAAGTAACACTGAGGGTGAGTCTCTTTCTTTAAAGTCCTTCTCCATACAATACGACCAATTTCATCTTAGCTTTTGTCTAGTAATCCAGTCATCACAATATTCCAAAAACCGAAGATAGAAATGTTCTTTTCACCTCCTGTTGTGATTTGCTTCTTCTTTTTCTTTTACTCACAAACCATGTAGCGTTTATGGATCAATTGTCAGAGCTCTGATGCTCTAACAATTTGAGACTAGTTACGGGGAGTGTGAAAGACTCTATGTTTCGGATTTTAAGAACGTACCCTCAGTGGAACGGGCAGAAAAAAGTGTCTACAGTATAGTAATATGTATAAAGCGCATAACATTCATTCATATTTTCGAATAAAAAAACTGGAGAGAGGGGAGAGAGGGGTGATCGTGGGATGCTAATTGTGTAATATCTGAAATTTGAGATTATCATGCTCGATCACTTTTCCTCAGTTTCTTGATGACTTTGATAACCAGAGCGAATTTCGCATCATTGCTTTCCAACACAACAGGATTTTGCTGAATCTAGTTGATATTATCTGGAAGCTAGTCAGGAGGAACTTGCATCGATAACTGATATCTTTCCGGTTTAAGATGGTTAATGGCATTCTAGCTCAGGCTTTGTTCTCTATCAGTTTGCAATCTTAATGACTTTCTCCGCAATGGCGTGTTAGACTTCCGATCCTTTATGTTGATTGACAGGTTTCACTTTGATGGATGGACGTCGAAAAAGATGCCTTTTTCCTCTAATAACACGGTCATCAAGAACTTTACAAAAAAACGTAGTTTCCACTCTGATTGAAGCGATTGGTTGTTTCGCTAGATTGGAGGTCGTGACTCACAAGTTCAGAGTTGGGTGATTTTAAACGACGACAATGAACACGATGATACTCCGCTCACCAACCAGTATACCTCAATATCGTGTTTATATGAACAGTGTTCAAACGTAGCCAAAGATGTGACCCCATGACCCAAACAAACAAAACATTGAGTGAGGCACCTATACAGACGGAATGCCCCTCAAATATGGTCACTCAACAACCCCCCCCCCCCCCCCTCCCAAATCGACCAAGTATCGGTAAGCGTGATACTGGCTCACAGGTAATCCAATGAAGAGGGAAAGTTGGTCTTCATGAGTTCCCTAGGCACAATAATAATTGGGACTGTTAGATAAGCAGTTTTTTTTACAAAATTTTCCTCAATGCCCTGTAGAGAGCTTGTAGCCAAATAAATATGTCGAACCGCCAGGTATGGAAAGGTCATTACAGAGCATGTGCTCTACACAACAACGGAAGTTTTGTTAGGAGAGCCAGGTTAGGCTGTTTTGCTGAAAGGTTCCTGTGTTTGAAAAACTGAAAAAAGAAGGACGGTTGGTATTATAGCATAGAACTTAGCACTGCACTGAGGCTAATAAAATTGCATACGCTTAAGCATAATCGGTTTTTCGGGAAACAAATGTCTACACCAATTAACGCAGGCCCTCACGATAGCAGGAACAAAACAAAAAGCGAGGAGTATAGGCTAAAGCGAGTTTTGGGCTAATCTGGTCTACATCAATATCGAAAGCCCACACGATATTGCTCCAAAAACGACTCATCTCGAATTTTATCGCCTTTTTGTGGCCAAATCTCATTTCCAGGTACAGTTATACCTTTCCAAAATGTGTGAAACTTCTGATTTCTTCTATACAACTCGTTGCAATATGAGCATGCAACAAAATGGCGAGTAGATTTTTTCAGATTATGATCCCTTTTTATGAAACATATGCCCCAAAATAAGAGCTAAGACCCTGTCTAATTTGAATGTTCTAATTCTTACTAAAGAAACGAGAAACAATCCTGTCAATCCTTCTTATTAATTTGCTTCGATCGATCAATGATCGACCTGCATCATATTCTTAACATTTGGAGTTTTAAAATAGATCATTTGCTTCTGGGAGTAATGCACGAATGCTCTTCTTCGGCTAGTCGTCACTCAGCGTTGAGTTCCTTTTCGAAACTGACTGCTTTCTTATGCAACTTCAGATAGACTGGTGCCTGCCTTGCCTTCCCAGTGTCCGGAGGTCCAAGAGACGAACAGAACTGTCGACCTCAGTGTTTTTCAGGTTCCACTGCGGAACAACAAGGAAATCCTTCACAACAGAGACAACAAGAAAAAGAGAAAAAGCCAAAGGAAGATCGTCGGGAAGATCGAGTAAAGGGACGTAAGATGGAGAACAGTGATGATTATTACTACTACTATCCTGATGGTCCACAAGGACAAGGAGAGCCTGATGATGTGAGTAGGAAGTTTCTATCTACGAAAAGTTAGATCAAGAAGTTGGTTTAGCTTTTTGTGGGAAGGTTTGCGCTGCGATTATTACTATGAAGTATGTATACTTGTCCCTTACTCAGCGTTACTGGTTATTGTTATTCAAATAGCTTGTTGTTAGGCAGGGCCGTCAGGCAGCAAGTGAAGAACTCCAAGTCCCTCTCACCGTAACCATATTCTGATTTTGCCACATGCCATCTTTTGGTTCAAAATGTAGTCAGTTACAAATTAGAAAGCGAACGATCTCACATTCGTTTTTTCAAGAGAACTGACAGATCTCATCGGGAGTTGTTTTAGAACTTCAAGTGATCAAAGTTTCAAGATAGTGACGACACGGCGAAAGTGTTAACTTCTCCCGTCCATGTTCACGAAACTTCATGAGACGCCCTGGACCTCAGGGTAGTGCACCGATCGACGGGTTTTTGCTCGGTGTTTTTTGGTGTCTGTGAATGTTCAGCGAAAATTGGCTATGTTATTGCCGCGTGGGAAAGCGTAATAAAATAGTTTCCGAATATTCCGGGAGACGCGAGGGCCCTCATACCGCTATGGGTTCCATGAAGTTGGTTTGGTCCTGAAAGCTCATACTCTGGAAGGAATGAGCTGTTCTTGACGGAAGACGTATGCACACACCGCAAGGAGTGCCTACTGAATATGTAGTCTCTCGCCCATATCAAGAATGATACGATCCTCAGCTCCATCCACTCGAGTATTATGAGCCTCTCCTACTCCTCTTGAATTCTTACCGTTTCTTCAGAAACAGTGCCTCTTTTACTTCCTTTGGGTTGGGAGAGTAACCAAATAGTTTTGCTTCCGTAAGCAAACTGCATCTAAACGTTTTCTTCTCGAGCTTATGCTACTGCAACCCTGACCGTACGCCGACAGTTACCAAAGTGATCTTTCGAGGGAACGTTGTATAGAAGGGGCATCGTTTGGGGAGTATTCGCCAGTTTTTGGATAAATTAACTACTTCCGCTGACTTACCCCCTTCGATAACTAATTTTCTAGCTGTCAGCTCGACAGAACCATTCGGAAGCAGACTTTGAACATGAGCACGTGCAGTGCGAGGGGAGTTTTCTTCTTTTCTTTCAATCTCGTCTGCATCGTCTGTTCTGCCATTTTGTCGTAAGTCGATCTTCACGAGCGGGCGCTCTTGTGTTCGCTCAGCATTTGTTTCGTCTGCTTGGTATTCGGTGTTATAAGCGCGATGTCGTCTTCAAAGCGGACGTGAGATGAGCAGCGGCCGTCGGCTTTCACTACTGTGTCTTCTGACTTTGGATGACGCTTGATTTTCTCAATTTCACCTTGTCGAACCCCTCTCATCGCGTTGATAATGAATGTCGTGTGGAATGGTGAAGTCATAAAGTTGTCGTAAAGCCCACGTAGCAAATGTATGTAGCATTCTTATATATTGAGTTTACACAGTGATTGCCAGGAGCTCAAATGACGGACTTAGTCTCGGCGCTTCTTCGAATTGATGAACGTCAGACATAAGGCATTCTGCATTTTCGCGGTACCTCATGAGTCTTGTAGTAGTAGGGATGTGATCGATTGCACTGAGCCCTATATGAAACCCTGCTTACTCGCTGTCCAACACTCAGTGTTCTACCAGTGCTGATAAGCATACTCGTGTGAAAAGCTAACAGATCACAGAGAGC